TTTAAAAAAAAAAAAAAAGAGCTAATATTTATATGGAAGATATGGAAGGTCAAGTTGAGAAGACTACATTGTGTGATACCAAGCAAAAGTAAACATGTTGTCAGTAATTTCAGTAATTTTATCCCTTAAAACTCATATTTGATAATCAAAATGACATATTTAAATGTAAAAATAATTTCTTCCATTTTTTTATTTCACTTGGTTAACTGAAGTAGTAAATGGTAAACAACGACAAGTGGCAATATTAGCTTCATTCAGCTATATATGTTAGAACCAAACTGATTGCAAAGAAAATGAAAAGCAAATCATATGGGGTCATCTACAAGTCGATGTATAAGAATACCAAGAGCTTGTAACACTCCAAAGAGAAAGGAAAAATTTAAATCGCATCATATGACCCCTTTAAATGAGAAAGTATCAAGTAGACATTACAAATTGTAGCTTTAGAAAGAAATATTTTACTTGATTCAACATAAAATGTATTACACATAAACATTTAGGCTACCACGGCCTAAGATAATCTATGGGACATAAAAAAAGATAATTTGAGAAACATCTCAGTATTTTTTGTTCATATAATGAAAGTCATTAGTAACTAAAGCAGCTTTGTTACCAACAGTCTTCAGAATACCTTCTTTTATGTTCCACAAAAGAAAGGTTTGAAACGACATGAGGGTAAGTTATGACAGAATAGATTTTTTTTTGTGTGTACTATCCCTTTCATGTTTTTATTTTTATTATTATTTTTTTTTTTAATGAAATGATACTCTAATTAAGAAACTAAATCTGCCAGCAGGTGGCGGTAAATGTCTTCATTTGATTCGTTCAAACGGCTGATTCATTCAGGAATGAAGTAAACGGCTCTCTTTATAAATGGGCTTTTGAATCATTGGTTCACACGATTCGTTCGAAATGCGGATTCATTCAGAAACTAAACACTGCTGTGTTGCTCGGAGACGCGAAACAATTCTGCTATGGCTTAAAAGTAGGGATGCACCGATACTGGTATCGGTATCGGGCCCGATACTGGTCTCCTGTACTCGTACTCGTTAAAATGCCCCGATACCAAACGCCGATACCACACAGCATGTGATAAGTGCCATATTCAAACAAAGAAACACCAACAGCAGAACAACAGACAGCAGAAAGGAGTTAAGGATGTCTACTACGAAGTATATGTATGCAATGAATATAATGTTAAACATTCAGTATTAATGCCTGTATAGCTGATGTGCGCGAGCTGATAAACAAAGCACGCTGACTCTGAGTGGATTGAGCGCGCGGCGGCACAGGTTTTTATTATTATTATTATTATTATTAAACGATACTCTAAATAAGAAACTAAATCTGCCAGGAGGTGGTGGTAAATGTCTTCATTTGATTCGTTCAAACGGCTGATTCATTCAGGAATGAAGTAAACGGCTCTCTTTATAAATGGGCTTTTGAATCATTGGTTCACACGATTCGTTCGAAATGCGGATTCATTCAGAAACTAAACACTGCTGTGTTGCTCGGAGACGCGAAACAATTCTGCTATGGCTTAAAAGTAGGGATGCACCGATACTGGTATCGGTATCGGGCCCGATACTGGTCTCCTGTACTCGTACTCGTTAA